GCTGCTTAGATCTGGCAGACGCAGATACTATGGCCGCTCTTGTGCCGCGTATTGAAGCTGCGATGAAGAACGCAGTCGGTCTACCGTCAAAAGTGGGATGTTCGAGGATTCTGGTCACGCTCGCTACACGACACCGTTTCCTGTTCAACCCGTACGCTGACAGCTTCCTCAAGTTGGTCCAGAAGCAAATTCACGACCGCAATGAGACTGTTAGCTCTTCGTATGCGGCTGCGGCTGGCTATCTTGCCCGACTCGCTTCAGATAAGCAGATCATTTCCACTGTCGCCTTTGTGAACAAGTTGTACTTCGAATCCGAAGAGAACAGCGACAGGAACCGCCTGCTAGCCGCAGACATCATGCGCGCTATCTCCTTATATGCTACGGACCGCTTCACCTCTTTTGCATCGGAACTACTACCATTCATCTTCCTGGCTAAGCACGACTCGGAAGAGAACGTCCGAAAGAGCTTCACAGAGACATGGGATGATCATGTTGCAGGTTCACGCACGGTCTCTCTCTACTTGAAAGAAATACTTGCTCTCTCTGAGAATCATCTGGAAAGCAGACAATGGGCCATCAAACATACTGCTGCGAAGACTGTCGCAGACTGTGTCTTACAGATCACTGATGCTGTGGGTAGCGAAAAGATCGAGCCAGTCACTGCGAAAACTATCTGGCCAGTACTAGACAAGGCTCTTAGTGGAAAGAGCTGGGAAGGAAAAGAAGTCGTGTTAGAGGCTTTCGTGCGGTTTGTAGAGCGCTCGGAAGCGTATTGGCAAGCCGGGGAAAATACGGATGTGGCTAAACATTTGGAAAAGGTTGCAACAAGGGAGAGCAAGAGGCAAGAAGGTAAGAACGAGAAGGTCGTTGCCGGGGTACTAGCGAAGCTGAGAGAGCATTTGAGCATGTAGGACGTGGCTGATATTGTAGAGTGACCTATTGCTGGACTCTAGACTTACCACCAGAAATATAGAAAGAACATACACCCTGAGCTTGGAGTTTCCAAACAGCTGATGTCAACCCGATGCCCATCGCTTTGCGAAAGTTGGTGATGTTACCAGCCTAGTTGCTCAAAACCTGGCAACCCCTACAAGTAAAGCTCCTCCACCAGCTCTTCATCTGAACGCATCTACTCGCCAAAGTCATCGGAGACGATCTCATCTACAACACCGGATAATCTGTGTGGCGCCAGCAACTTACGTATGAGAGACAAAACCCATGTGCCACAAACCTTGACTCATAAACTATACTCTTCCTTCGCTTCTGCAAGCCGAGGCGTAGCTCTTTTCGTACCAGGCCGCCTGATTCTCGACCTGCAGCACAACACCCTTCCAATTTCATGATGCGATGTTCCAGCCCTATGCCCTGGTATCGCTTCTTTTTCTTCACTAATGTCTGCAAGAACGAGGCACAGTCTACAAAACGATGATGGTGCGATCTTCATGCGAATAAACGGTTTTAGGTTCGACGGGCATATCTGATAGCCTCTCCGCTGCATGTAAGTAAGATATGTGATTAACATACATGCACGCCCATCGCCCTTTCTTGCCTGTTGGAGTTGGTGTCGAGTCGACGTGTGATGTGACGCTACAAGCGCAAAGTTTATGTGAGCCTGTTGGTGGGCGGCGGTCTACTCCGCCGAGTGCACTACCCGATCTAGATATGCGAGAAAGTCTCCGAACAAATAGCCATGTCGGAAGTTTTCTCGTCTCAAGTCTGAAGGTGTTGGTTGTTATGCCGTGCCTCACAGGCGGACCTCCAACACGACCTACGGGGCGTAGCCATCCCAAAGGCCTAAGCCCCATCACAGCCGTCCTCCCCCTTAGCCATGGTCTTGGGAATGGCGTTAAGCGCGTCTGACACATGAAGGACGTCGCTATTCTGCGTGCTATGCCGCAACACCGCTGGCGCTGGGATGATAGCACACCGATGAAATCCTTTGCGGCACGACTTCCTAATCCCGAAGTTCGATTACATGAGTCAGGACAAGCGCGGTCGGGACGCCGTAAATCGCTTCTCGCTGAGTCGGCAGTGTACACTTAGCCATGTGCCGCTGGGAGTGTACGATGTGGGCTGTGAAAGTATCTGCTAAGGCAAGGGAAGATTATGCGCAAGAGACGCGGCTCGGCGCTGTTCCGGCGTTATGTATTCCATCGTGTCTCGCGTCGAAGGATTCTTGTACATGCCATGTCACGACATTGAGTATTTTTCGAACAGCGAGAGCGGGAAACAGACGTGCATGAAATTAGCGGCGTGCTGCTCCGCGAGCGATGATGCCGTTTCCCGATCCTCAGCGTCCTTCCCGTGTGGCTGGTGTGTGTCTCGCATCTATTCATTCGCACCTGACTTTTCACACATTACCCCATCAACAGATACCCATGCCCTTCAATCAATGGGCATAACTAGCTCAGACTACACTTCTGCACTAGCCTAACAAACTCAATAGCCCATCCGCAACCTCATCCGCATCCCCATTCCTCTTCACATGACCATACGCAAGAATCGGCGACCCCCAGCCCACCTAGCGCCACCCGTCTCCACAGCCCTGGTTAAGCGCCCACCCCACCCCTGTGTTATCCCTGTCCACACCACTTCGCTCATCTCATTCGCCAGCTGGTATACCGAGCTAGGAGAAGCGGGAAGGTTACGCAGCCTTGGGAAACATTGGGCCTAAGCTTTCTTTGCTTCTTTCTGCACAGTCAGTCATACGCGGTAAATGGGTAACAAAACGCCTTTTTTGCCCTTCCTTCTGCAAAATTGAGGCGGGCACGAAAGAGAGTGGCGAGACCTGCAGGTCATGATGCATCGAAGCTCGATTGCATGCTTTTGCCGAGGTTAAAAGAATAAACAAAGAAGCCAGATGGATGTGGCCTGTTTTCACAAAAGGTGGCTAACGTCTAGTGGAGGTTGATTGGACAGACTAAGCGCATATAGATTGCCGTGCGTTATCTGGGGAAATATTGGCTTCTTACGGCGGGTATGCGTGCCCGCGTCACAAGGCGGTCTGTCAATAGAGCAAATGGTCAGAGGAGGCTCATTTGTTGACTTTTCTTCTCACCGGTGTGACCGAGCGGTGTGTGGTTCTATGTGTAGGGATGTTGTGTGGTATACCCACCCCAGTCAGTCGAGCAAGACAATCGAGATCAACATGTGCAAGAGAACATGGTTTGGATAGTAGGTATCGTGTTTCATTTCTCTCTTTCTCTCTTTGGCTAGTACTGGCAGATTCGAAACCTGGATGCAAGTGGAGAACCATTGCCATCTGACCTCGCTAGCTTGTTCAAGTGAATAAGTTGCAGCGGCAAGGGCTATTGTTCTCACTCGTCTCTTTTACCGCTGGGCCTATCACCACAAGGCCCGTTCCAGATGCCCACACCTGCAATACCAGAAAACCTGCATGCAAGATACTTGCCGCCCAGCACGCACCCACGTCGCGCGCGCATCGCCCTGCTACTATCCCTCAAGTAAATCGAAGAGGCAATCTCCGTGCTTGGATCTCGCTTAACCAATCAAACAGCGCCGGCGCATTCCTGCCCGCTATATATTGGTATCCGCTAGTAAAATGTGGTAAAATGTAATGGTGAACCCCAACGCCAAAGACATGTTTTCCGCCGTGACAGGGTCATGAAAGAGAAGTGACGTGGCCATAACGTCGTTTCTCTATTGATGTGGGATAGTAAACATAAGAAAAGTGGGATATGGATAGTGATGGAGTGATGAGGTAGTTATGTCGTGTCGTGATTGATGATGTTGTTTGAAGATAATGTTGCGATCGGATCGCCTGGACCCGAGTAATTAGTTGAAGTGGCCGGGTTGGAGGGTGTAAGTCGTGTATAATGTAAAATGGTAGACATTTGACGAATGGGAATGCAAGCGTTACGGCCGAGCGCAAGTGCAGAGCTTGAAGGGGTCATGGAGTAGCACAGGACGGTTGCCCATGCTGAATCCAAGCAGTCCAGAAGCGGTGGTCTGCGCAACGATCGCGCATCTCTACTCGACCTTCCTCCTCTTACCGCGGGGTGCGGGGTCAATTTGCGGAAACTGTGGAGCTTTTGCGTCGACGGGTGTGCGACTGTATGTCACTGTCCGTGTAACAACTTCGCGCACACTAACGCGCCTTGAGCGGCTAGTCTTCTTATCCGCATCCCAGGTTTTGGGTGATGAGACGGCAGAAAACGGTGATTGGATAGACTTTGCGCTGGCTGGTGACCGTACTGCAGCGGGCGAATAGGGTGATTGGGGGATGTAAAGGCGGGGTGTCCGCGCAGAATGGGGTCGTGTGAAAGGTGATGGTGGTGGGATAGTGACCGTCTGGACCTTGGTTGGAGGTGCAGACATTGGCGGTTCATCCTTGGTGGTGTCGCATCTGCTGCAGCTGCTTGACCTTGAGGTTGTTGGCGAATCTTTGTTCTTAGTTTTGTCTACCGGAGCCGATGTTGATGTGAACGATGCACTGGACGCCGATGATGTTACTGAAGTGGGGCGGCTGTCACCAAAGACAAACCTGGAGCTAGTACCAGTGGACATTGGGCTTGACAGGACAGGTGATAAGTTTTTGAGGAACTCGAGATAGGCTGTCGGTGGTGTGATGGGTGTCTTGAGATCTGAATCCTCCCGTTTGATATTGGCAAAGATGGGGGTTGTTGCAGAGGTGATCATGGGCGACCTGAGTTCCGAGGGGTAGGTTGCAGACATGGGTGTCTTGAGTGTAGATAGCGTGGGTTTGGAGTCGGTCGCAGCCATGGTGTTGAGTATACCGTTGAGTTGAACGAATGACTTGGATGCTTGTCGGTATTACTGCGAGCTGTGCTATGCCTTCGTCCACAGCAAAGTGGAAGAGTGAGAGAGCGAGGCCAGCAGACAGGTACTCTTTGGCGCCTGGGGAAGAGAGTGTTTATTGTATGTACTATGACACTAGCTTGGCGCGGATGCGCTGTTGTTGTTGGCCGCTGTATGGGTCGTATCCGGTTATTTTTGGGCGAGAGGAGTCCCAGCGTTCTCTAAGCGCCGAGGACTAGGATATGCAGGCCCCGTGCACAGACGAACACCTCCACAGGGATTCGATTCGCTGCCCAACGCTGAAACAAGATATGTGATTTGTTCGGCCCCTGCAGGTCTCGAGACTTTGACCGGCCAGAAGGTGCGCCTGATTCGCCGCGTCGCTCTCGGGTGTGTGATGTGCGTGGTCGCTGTGCGGGAGGCAAGCTCGTAATCTGAAGCTGAACGTGGCGACCTAGTAGTCTGCCCGGTAAGAGAATCTGAGACGAGCTGATGAGACGTTGGCGTCAGAATAAGGCGAAGTAGCAAGCAAGTCAACGTGCCTCATGAACGAATGTTGCTTGAAATAGATTGAAGCTGTGTGCAAGCTGTGCATCTTACCTCGCGGGAGCATTAGACGATTTTATGTCTTGCTTGCAGCCGCTGTGTATCTCTACGCTGCTTCGGAGGGCGCGCGCGCTTCCGTCTCATGCCATCTGCCACCTGGTTTACGTACAGACACCTGACTCTGGTTCGCCGTTGAAACATCACTACCAGCGCTTACACATGGGCCTTCCCGTGGATTGCGTATGCCTATCACGTTGCCTAAATCAACGTCTCGACTGCTACATGGTCGTGTATTCGGCGTCCCGCCTGTCTAATCTCTGTTACACTGTACATAGCTACTTGACCAATGACCGCGTCCTACGGCATACCATCTGAAGCCACGCGCGAACGCTGCGACCGTGTGGTCCAGAGGTATACTCAGCTATGCCGTCTTCCAACAAGGGCCGTAAGTTAGTCCTCGGGCCGCCTGGGCGGCTTACCCTACGAGGGCCTGCAGGTGACTGTTCTGATGTATCTCATCCTCTCTAATAGGGCTTACTGCATCGCCGACCGTGATGGTGGGATTCTGCCGAAGGGGAGATGACACATCATCCCAGGGCAGATGGCAAGTATGCTCTCCGAAGTAGACGCGACCATCAAAACGACGTGTTTTGGAAAGCGTTACGAATGGTTCCTGGTTTCTTTCGGCGGTTTGCTGATCAATGCAAACCATCTGGCATCTACGACACGCTCCCAGCATCTCAAAGTACTGCTGGCCAATCTGGAGGTAGCGCCAGTCGTCTTCCGCATATGGGTCTTCCAGCCCAGGCGGGTACGCTGGGTTCTCCGCAACCACAATGTTGGCTCTGAATACCTCTGCTTGCGCCGCCTTACCGCCCTCCGCTTTGATCAATTCATTCAGGCGGTTGAGGCTCGATCGTGATATAGTAAGGATGGGACTCTCATTTGCTAGCAAAATTGGCTTCGAAACGCACGCGCCGGGCGTAATGGGAACCGTTTCTGGAAAGGCGCCGGGTACTCGCATAGCGCCCGCTTTCTGGTATTTCTGCAGATGCGCTTTCGAGTGTCTTGAGATGGCACTCCCGTTGCTAACGGCAGGAAAGCGCGCAAGGTGGCAAGCCACTCCGAGAGCTCGCGTAAAGAATGACGATATGTCGCTTGCCCTATACGTTTTGGCTTCGATAGAATCTCCGCAGACCTTAGCTCTCGCTTCTTTGTATACGCTTTCGTCTGTAAACATCCGTGGATCCGCGGAAAGAGGTACAGTGATCTCATGCAGATCGGTATTGGTCTGTAGGGCGCCCGCCAAACTCACACGTAGCAATCCTTTCTCGAGGTCGATACTGGGACGTATGAGAGCCATCTTCGGGTAGCGCTTTTGGCTCAGTGCTGCTCCAGTGCCTTGATGGACCAAACACCACTCACGATCCCACGCAAGACCCTCTGGGCGCACCTCCCATGCTCTACCCGGCGGTACGCTGAACCCTGCGCAACTCTTGATAGGGTAGACAGATAGGCTTTCCACGTGCAAGCGACTTTGCGTTGGTGGCTCTACAGCGGCTGACATTATTGGAGACACATCTAGCGGCTGACATTCTTGAACGAAGAACTCGCTCACAAAGTCAACAAACTTGTCGACATCCGATAGGGTACTCATAGCTCCGAAGCTGACGCGTGCCATGCCGGTCGGTCTCGCACGCATGACATCGTTGTCGTTACCGCATCGTTGCCCGGCAGAAAAGTTCTCTCGCATCTCCCAGGGTGCCAATCCTAGTGACGAGGCAACACCACCAGGGTTGCAAAGCCCGCCGGTCCTGAGTTGGACGTTCTTGATTGCAGCCAACTTCTCCACCTCTGCATTACTTACCCAGCCACCGCATTGATTGCGAAGATTGAATGCAACAACTGGGCCCTGGGTAAGCGAATCCCCATAGGTGGAGGCCGGGTCTTTGTATACGTGGCAAACCTCTGCACCATTCCCGTGCCGTAATGACGAAAGTCCTTCGTACAGCTTCCGAGCAAGAAATGTAGTGTGCCTTGAGATTTGGTCCAATGATGTATAGAGCTCCTGATGGACAGTCATTGCGCTATCAAGCGCCATGATGTTATGTATCGGCAGAGTGCCATCTTCTAACCTCTCGTGTAGCGAGTCAACCTTCTTCGCGTGCCATTGCTCTTTCAAGCACACGACCATCTCGACAGTGCCGCCACCAAAGTAGCGTCTCTTGTCGAATACCGATGCTGATGCTTGCCTAACTATCAGAGCGCCGAGATCGGGAAAGCCAAACATTTTGTAAAGGCTCAATACGGTAAAGTCGGGGGCCTCGTTAGGATTCCCAAGGTCAAGAGGCGATGTCGAGACAAGTGCCGCAGCATCCAACAAAGTGTAGACATGCTTTCTGTTCCCCGTGCGTATACGGTGTACCCACTCCAACGGCAGGCGACGCCCGTTCATGTTGGATTGCGCTGGGTATGCAAACAGCTGTGCCGGTCCAACTCCAACGTCTTGACTGTCAATCCAGTCATTCACCTCGTTGTCCGAAGCGAAGCATCGATGCTCCTTCGCTGCCTCGCGCACCCCTATCAGACTTGTATGCGCATCCCTGTGGTAGCCATACCAAAATCCTTCATCCTGATCGCGAAATGCATCCATGACCAGCTTTATCCCGGCAGTAGCGTTGGCTACGAATACGACGTCAAACTCCTGAGGATCGGCATTGAACATTTGCAAGAGGCGCAGTCGTACATCTTCGATTCGTCGCGTCGTCAGTTGGGAGGCATTGGAGGCGGAGTGAGGATTGCCGTAGAGGTTCGCAATCATATCAGCAGAGAAGCGCTCGATCAGCGACTTGGCGTAAAGCGTGGTGCCGGCATGATCCAGATAAGTCGTGTCTGAAGGGTAAGTACACATCCAGCTGAGCAGCTACACAAACTCACCCTGCAACATGGGATACTCCTTGGCGCGAAGCTCTTCGATCGCACCGTTATAGCTAAGGTGTGTTGCCTCCTCCATCGTGCCTGGTGTGTTTCGTCTCAATCAGGAGCAACACTTTTCAGCCGTAGTCACCTGGAGCAGAGGAAGAAGGAGTAGAGTTTGCGAAGAAACCCATTTGTTCCTAGGTAAGCGGCGTGTTTGCGAGAGTGGGGGACACGCGATGGCGAATGGTGGAGTCGTGACCTTGGACCCTGCCTAGAGGGAGATACGCGGGCGGTCCCGATCGCTCGGAGGGCGCCATCACCGAAACCGTCTACACGCGACAACCACTATTTGCGTTTGACATCTCGTCAACTCCCTTTTCTCATATATTCCCTCGACTCGCAGTAGCTCTGCGACACCATATATCTGCTATGGGAAGCGACGCGAGTTGCATGTTTGAAGATGAACACTCCTGGAGTAACGCACCCGCTGCATACGCCTACCCATGTGCCACTACAAGGACCTTTGCGTACCCATCACGAAAATCGAAACAATATCAGACTATCTCACCACTACACCCAGAAAGAAGAAACTGCTAGCTTGAATTGTCTATAAATGCAGATATGGAGTTCGAAGTGCTGAAAAGAAGTTGACAATGGGACACCCCTCTAGCAGCTTCATGGTAGTTGCCCATCTGCGAGCGCCTCCGAGCTGAACGCGAAGACGAAACTGGCGCATGGCCCCCACGAAGACGTCTTGAAGATCACAATATGATCAACATCAACGAAGCTCAGTCGGTCATCGACAGAGACGTATGATTCTATCAGCCTCGCCGCCATAAGAACTTCTCGCAAGTCTTTGAGCTTTCCTCAGTATCGACCATTACACCGCACACATGCAGAAATGCCTAAGATAAGATCACCTCACCTTGGCACAAGGCGTACTTACTTTGACCCAAACTTTCTGGCGTGCACGAGGGACGATTTCACCGTCTTAGGACTGCGGCTGAGGTTTTATACGACTCGCAGCACCACTTTCAATATTGTGTAACGAGCTTCACGTCAGGTTATTGGCTACCTCGAATTTGGCCCCCAGGTACGCTTCGCTTGTTTTTTCGCATTCTTCGCATACTACGATGATTCACCAATAGCAATCCCGTGGCGTTATACACTTCATCCAAGTGGCGTGCCGAGGTAAGGCCTATTGGAGAAGTTCTAGGGACAGCGACATGTTGCCAAGAATTATACTATACAACCGCAGCAGTGGAGATGAAAAGGCTGACTTTTGTGATCGTGGAAGGCTGCCAGGAAGGCTGTCAGGCAGGCTGTGTTTATCGCATCCTCGGTGGCATGATAGTATAAAGTCTGGAAGGGCTGAGTGAGAAACATGATTTTGTTTCACCAGCAGATCTCAGCAGACATCTTAGTCCCGAAAATTCAACCCTCGTTTCTCGAAGACATTTCACACACTACTAGCAAACATGCTTACTCGCTCACTAATGCTACTGAGTGCCGTTGGGTACTGTGCACTCGCTGGGAAAGCGGGACCACTCAAGGGAGGATCTGGTGTCTCGCCCCGTCAGCTCGACGATTGTTTAACTCCAGGATGGATTCCAGTATGCCCTGGTAAGTCTTTCCTTTAGAATGAACTATACATCGAACTAACATGATCAGGCGATCTTCCATGTATCCCACCTTCGGGTACATGCTGCACAGGCGACTACTATCATCTACCAGGCGAGGAATGCCCCGAAGGATACTCTGAAGTCCCCCGCATCGATCAACCCAGTTCGCCTTCTGCTTCCATCACGCCAGCCCCCTCCGCCACTTCAATCCCAGACCCAGTCGTCGTCGACTACTCATGGTACACTTACTCATATACCTACTACTACTACTATTACTACTACTATTATTTCGACACCACTTACGAGATTACATCTACTGAGACGACATACTACACAACCTTCTCGTTCACAGCGACGGATGATGCGGCCGCAAGCTCTGTGTACGAGTCTTTCACCGCTGCTTTCGTTGAAGCTGTTCCCACACAGTCAGAGACGCCTACGCTTGGCTCTGTTCCAGCTT